AAGGGAGGGCAGAGGAAGGGGAAAAACATAACAACCAAGATACTCATGTAATGGTACAAGATCCCAATGATGTATGTAAATGTATTTTATACCTAAAATGTACCAATAAACTTAATGGGGGTGGGGGAAAAAAAAGAAAGCACAAGAACAGTAATTGCTATAAGGATCTGTTCTTATTTGTGTTTGTACCAGTGCCACCCAGCCTGAGCTGGTTACATACTATTTCTCAGAAAATAATACAGAATGAATTAAAGTGCTTGATCAGGGTAAGAAATGTTTGGGTAGCACACAGACTACAGTATGGGTGTAATGAATCGTGCCTGGGACAGTCACAGTGGTGGGTGTTATAAAAGGTATGTGAGAGGCTGCTCGGACACAAGCTTTGTGTGACAAAAAGCTTTATTCCTGTGCAGTTGTGAACAGGGACTGAAATCAGGGGCAGATTTCAGCAGCTAGCTGGGAAGAGCCAAATTTATTTAATCCGTGTGTGCATGGGCTGACATGGGGTCAGCAGCTAGCTGGGAGACAAATTGAGTTTCTATGGGGCTTGAAAAGGGGGCTATAATCTGGAATGGAATGTTTATGATTGAGTGTCTGAGGGTGTGCAGATAACAGTGGGCTCTTCAGAGCTGGGGAGATTGTATACTCCGTCCTAAATTTTCTTTATGGCCATGTATCCTATTTACTGAGAGTAGCCTTTTATTTGCAGAGAATGGAATGTTTGCTGTGGAATGTTTGCATGTGTGCTCATTCATTTGAGGCGTGATGGGGTATTTTAAGAGAACCTTAAAGAAAAAGGAGTTTTCCAGGTAAAAAAGGGAAAGAGCTATAGGAAGTAATTTCAGGCAATTGTTTTAGATCAAACAAAAACATGAGAAAAAGTTAGAGAATGGGAAAGAAGAATGGAAAGAAAGCATGGACTGCAGAACCTCTTTGTAAATAAAAGACATACAGGCTGGGGATATAGTTCAGTGGTAGATTGCTTGCTTAAATTAACATGCATGAGGCCTGAGTTCAATCTCCAGTACTAAAAAAAAAGACAAAAAACAAAACCCAGGTGTAGTAGCACATGCCTATAATCCCAGCACTCCGGAAGGTTGAGGTAGGAGGATCATAAATTGAAACCCAGCCTGGGCAATTTAGTGACTTAGCAAGACCTTGTCTCAAAATTTTCTTTCATTTCATTTTTGAGACAGGGTTTCACTATAGATTCCAGGCTAGCCTTGAAGTCACTATGTAGCTAGGCTAGCCTTGAACTTGTAGCAATTCTCCTGTCTCAGCCTCTGGAGAGCTGAGATTACAAGTGTGCACCACCAATATCTCAAATCCAGTACTGGGTTCAATCCCCAATACTGAAAAATAACTAAATAAATCCCCAGTACTGAAAAATAACTAAATAAATAATTAACTAAATAAATGACACATGATAAGCAGGCATTAACATGACACCCATACATATAGACATCTGCAGAGATGCGTTGCTATTACTGTCATGCTTAATGATTAGTGAATTTACATTAATAGGATTTTATGAAATAGAGTCTTTGAGCTACAGAGGAGGGAATCATTCTGAGTGTAGAAGACAGAGGTGGTATTGTGTGGTAGTTGAGTACTGGCTCAACTGGAACTAATAGATCTGGGTCCAAGGTGTGGCTTTGCTGGCCAAATAGCTTTGTGTCCTTAGGCAAATTACTTAACCCTTCAAGCCTCTGATTCCTATTTTGCAAAATGAAGATAATAACAGTTCCTGTCTCATGAGTTGATTGTGAGTGTTAATGCATGTTTGTGAAGTGTTAAATAAAATGTGTGCACATAATAAGAATTCAGTTAATATTGTCAGTTACTAGAAATGAGAATTGGGGGCTATCTGGGGGCCTGTAAGAGCGGAGTGCTATGTTGTGAAAAACAGCTGACTAAAGGAAACAATGGAGTTTGGTAGAGTTTCATTTTAAAATCCATTCCTATTTTCATTTTATTTGTAGTACTAGGGATCAAACCAGGGCCTCACACATGAGAAGCAGGGTCTCTACCAGAGCTACATCCCCAGTCCTATTCTTTTTCAATTCATAAACTCAAGCCTTTTCTCTGAAAGATTTTATTTAGTTCATGGATGATTTCAGTACTTCCATTCTCCCCTGAAGAGGAACTATTGTCCCGGTCCCAGTCTGCAGAGGCAACCCTGCCTTAGAAACTTGTCCGATATAGAAAAAAGATAGGAGACAGATGGCGTTATAATGGTACGACTTTGAGGGCTTGAGTGAACCCCCAGGAAAAGAGACTGTCATCTCGGATCCTGGACAGAACACTCACAAACCCTTCTATTGCTATGATGGTCGTTTCTATACAGGAACCAGAGTCACTTACCTGGAAGTGTATTTTCACTAATTTGAATTTATTATTTCTTTTCTTTCTTTTTCATTCTAAGATACTGTGTTTTTATGGTACTGAGGAGATTTCTTTTTTTTTTTTTTTTTGGTACCAGAGATCGAACTCGGGATCTTGCGCTTGGGAGGCAGGCAGTGGAACCACTGAGCTAAATCCCTGGCCGAGGAGATTTCTTTAAAATTATCAGAAAACTCTTGTTACCTATAAAGCAGTCACTGTCTTCTCCTTTGTATGCCACCCCCATTCCAATGCTTCTCCTTCCTGGCTTTGTCTTGTAAATCATTTCCCTGTGGTAAATTTTCCCCATTCTGTCAGCTTCCCACCTCTCAGACTGAAAAATTCTTGGATTGCCCTGGATTTCTTTTTTGCAGTCTCAGGATTTTTTCTGTTCCATTTCTTTTCCATCAGGCATCCAGCCCTCCATTTGCCCGACTTTGTTTTCTGCCCACAGATCACTGACTGACCAGGCTGATGCCAGCGGCTCCTTCAGATACCAAGGGATAGACGTGACAGTATTTTTGCCTACACTTTGAGACTCCTTGTAATTGCATCAGTACTGCACGTACTATGGGGAAAATACATGTGGACTGTCAGGCACTGGGTTAATCAGCTTCACCCCTTGTCCACAGGAGCAGAGTCCTAATGCACAAGCAGTCCGGTACAAACACCTGAGCCAGCTTCACTCCCGGGGAGCGGCATCCAAAAGGAAAGCCTTTACTCTTACTCCACCCCTTTTATCTACCAGCACCCCCAGCTCCAGTGCCTGCCAAGTGGCACAGAAATGAAATCTTAGAATGAAAGTTTTAGCTCAATTAGTTGTTAATACCTAGGAGTGGCAGATATAGAATGTTTCCCTTTTCTTGGCAGGTCAAAGATGAAATTTGATTATGCTTTGGAGGGTGTGGTTTGCCTCTCTAAATTCCCCACCAGTCTTTACCAAGGCTGGATTGCCTAGAACAGCCTCAAGTGTCCTTATTAACCAGGGAGGCGCACCTGCATAAATAGTGGGAAGGAGGCCCTGGGAAAAGTCAGACCTGTTCTGCACCATGAAGAAAAAGCAGCCTAAGAAGGAGGCAGCTCCACACTGTGAACTAAGTAAGGAGCCAGCAAGGACAGAGCAGCCCGAGGAAGCTACCCAGCTAAGAGTACATGGAAGGGTGACAAGAACAGCTCTGGCCTTTTTATTTTCCAGATGCAGCAGAGGTTCCCAAGGCAAGGTTCTGTCTGGAGGAACTTCGTCAAGCCTTTCCAAAACTGCAGATTTTGCTGTAAAGTGATGCTCAAAACTAATTTGTGCAATTTCTTTCTTCTCCAGGAGACATTCCACATGGAAACCAGCCTGAGTGAGGAAGAAGATGATCCTTGCCCTAGTTCTGTTTTGTTTTTGTTTGCTTGCTTTTGGTCTCTGAGTTTGTTTCTGCTTTGCACTCTACTGGGATATTTTCCTTTTTGCGGTTCACTCTCCTTTTTCTCTCATCTTGGACTCTTGATAACCTAGTAAGATTTTCTCCTAGCTATTTATTTTTTCATGAAGAAAGGAGGTTGGTTATCTTTAATGGTGTACCTGGTAGGGGAGTCTAAGATTATTTTTAATAGCTATTAAAGACACTTTCGAAAATTAGGGTGATTTGTTGGGCCCTTTATTCTCCCCAGTCATCTCCAGTGAAATGGGGGGGGGGGATTGCGGCTGGGGATGGAGTGGGATTGGTTTCGGGTAAGTAAGGGTAAGATGGGGAGAAAGGAGGCAGAGCTAGGTGGAATGGAGGAAAACCTTCACTATGAGGCTTGGAGTAAGACGCCTGATGCAGTCGGACTGGCTGCACTGGCTGAAGTTTCGCCGTTCCTCCCAGGGGTGGGGAGCTGCTGTTGGTGGGGCAACAGATACTATGATGTGGCTCTAGGACGGAAAGGAAACGGTCCTGTTGGGTGGCTATACTTTCTGATAAGGTGGAGCTATACCTGGTACAGTCAGGTCTCCAGAAGAAGGGCTTGACTGTCAGTAACAGGAAGCTGCGAGCCTCCAGGTTGCTCACGGAAAACAAGTTCTAGGTTCAA